TTAAATAGAAAAGAAAGGAAAGAATTTGAAATTTTTATATTATATATGTTTTAGCGGAATCACCAATTCCTGTATCAGATTCACCACCTACAGTAAGCCCACTTTCTTCTTCCATTGTATTACAACGTGAAGGAACGATAAACCAGCCACTTAGTGCACCTGCATCACCTTTGTCTTCCTTGTCATCTCCCATAACACAATTAAATTTGTCATCACCTGAAGATTGTACACAAGATCCTAATTGGCAAGCAACAAAACCTACAGTTCGTGAACGAAATGCTGCCATGTTTAACAATCATTTAATGGCTGATATTATATTTATTGTTGGCAGTCCAGGTAATTAATTAGAAATGTTTAAAAAATATATCTTAGTATTCTAATAGCTTACAAAAATAGTTTAGTGCAAAGTTGAATAATATTATATGTTATTATTAAATGTAGGTCACACACAAACTATACCAGCACACAAGTATGTTTTAGCTACTGCTAGCTCTGTATTTTATGCTATGTTTTATGGCGGACTAGCAGAGAATAAAAGAGATATAGAGGTGCCAGATGTAGAGCCTGCTGCTTTCCTTGCTCTGTTAAGGTAAATATATTAATTTTTGTGACATTACAAATTATTTTTCACATATTTTGTAATTTTTTTCTCAGGTACATGTATTGTGATGAAGTACAATTAGAAGCTGATACAGTGTTAGCAACTCTATATGTTGCTAAAAAATATATAGTCCCTCATCTAGCAAGGGCATGCGTTAATTATTTAGAAACAAGTTTAACAGCAAAGAATGCATGTTTACTTTTAAGCCAATCTCGTTTATTTGAAGAGCCAGATCTTATGCAACGTTGCTGGGAAGTTATAGATGCTCAAGTAAGTTTAAATAAAGGGATGTTAAAGTCTCTTACTTTAAATGATAATTTAAATGTAACATTAAAGTGTAAATCGAACTCCTCAAATTGTTTAAATAACAAACTAAAGGATTCAGAACATCAATTTATTCAAAGAACTACAAAAACGAACAATTATGGAAATGTAAAGAATAGATTATCAGTAGTGTCACATTGTTTCAGTTTATCTGAAAACAATTGCTGCTCTAAATTTAATAACAAACGATTATCATTTTCTCTGTTTCGAACTCGAAGCGAACCTTACTTTGCAGATAATAAGTTAGAAATTGAAGTGACACAAAATGTAACTTATGAAGACAATTTTATAGAGGAATATGAATATAACAAAAACGATTATAATGATCTTTCTAGAATAACATGTAATATTAGTCC